ATTGGTAGATAGATACACAGATTTAGATAGATAGTTATATTTACAGATAGGTAGATAGATAGATAGATTGATTGATAAATAGATATATAGATGAAAGGATATAAAGGTAGATAGGTAGATGTACAGATAGATATATAAATGGATGGATGGATTTATAGGTAGATAGATAAAAAGATAGATAGATAGGTACGGTTGGTAGATAGTTGGATATATAGGTAGATAGATAGATATAGTTAGATATGTAATAAAAACTAGAACATAATCATAGAGTCCTATAGCTTTGTGTGTCAATAAATAAATACTTAAGAGATCGAGAGCGAGTTGTATCTGGATTGATACATACTCAAGAATACAGAGAGAGTTGTATCTGGATTGATACAGACTAAAGTATTATTGGAGCATATAGAGTTTGAGCGAGTTGTATCTCGATTGATAGATACTGACGAATGCAGAAATTGTTGTATCTGGATTGATACTTACTTGAGCATAGTGAGAGTTGTATCAGGATTGATACTAACTTGAGCATAAAGAGAGTTGTATCTGGATTGATAGATACTGACGAATAGAGAAGGTTATACCTGGATTGGTACTGACTTAAGAGAACTATCGGAGTAAGGCGTTTGTTACAGTATAGATACATATATATAGAAAGAAATGTAGTTAGATTAGGTCAGAAAATTTGGTGTGAAATCTTTAACACAACATTTTTTCTTCAAAATATTATATTTTTGTATAAGACAAATTTTAACCGACTTATAAAAATGTGCATACTTTATACCATTTTCATTTCACTGTAATTAGCAGATTATTTTTTCTTCAATATCGTCACATTTGTATTTTTTTGTAATTAATTAATTCATCGGAAATCCTGCCGTCCAACCAATTTACCATCCAACCATCCTATCTATATTAACTGCTGAATCAGAACTATATTTAAAGAAAACTTGATTTGACCTTGAAATCGTCCTATTTCAAGAGTTATAGGTCGTCTTTACAGCCTCACCTTATCTTGTGTGGGTAGACCAAAAGGTAAGAGCCTAGGAGGGCTTCAATAATACATTTACCCTGAACCCTCTATGCTCTGTTATGTGAATTGTGTAAGAGCCCCATCATGCTGTGGTGAAAAGGAAAAAGGGAGTCGAGTAGAGTGAGTAGAGTAGAGAAGAAGAAGGAAGGGTTTTTGTTCCTCCCCAGGTCAAGTGGTTTAATCAATATCAACAATATGTTTTCACCAATTTAAACTGCGGATATATATCAAGGTCTAAGCTACAGGGGGACCCACGAAGGATGTGATTGTAAAGACGACCTAAAACTTTTAAAATGTTACTATCTCGAGGTTAAATTGAGAATTTTGTCTTTAAAAGTCATATTTAATGATTTGGCAAAGAAAGAAACAATTTAAGACGTTCCGGGAATCAAAGGTACAAGGAAATATACAGTTTACATCTCGAACAGTCGTCTTTGAAGTATCAACCTTTGTGGGTAACCCTGTAGGTCGAATTCTGGAGACAAATAATTTTCTTCTATTTAGTTTTAACTAAGTAAGAATTCTGCAATGCTTTACAAAACGGTTGTTGGAGGATTTTTTGGTGGTTTTCGTGATTTCTTATAATTTCTTGATTCATGTCAAAAATTTTTTTTTTTAACAAGTCAAGGGATAATAAAATAGATAGAAAGATAGATGTTACCGCCATACTATTTCTATTGGTTCAGAATAGACAACAAACACATGACTGAACCCTGAATGGATCAGGCGCTAATGGATTTGGCATACAGGAGTGATTTGATAATAATTAAAAGTTATATGATATTTATATTACTGAAATTACTTTGAAAAAAGTATGGAACCTTTGTTTTTTAACCATAGATCTTTCTGAATTTTTTTTTAAATTAACGGAACTTCTTTTGGGAAAATCTCATAAAAAAACTGCTGATTAGGTAGAAACGTTCGTTCATTTTATATATTGTTTTTAGTTACAATGCGTTTCAAAATTTCTTTTCGAAATCTCTAACAAATGTTGTTCATAATTTAGAAATTTCAGTAAGTTTTGAGGTTTGAGCAAATATTTGACTATTTTGAAAAATGTTAACTTTTTGTTTAAGATCTGCAGTTCTGACTTTCCTTTTTAGGAAGCTGTAAGCGCAATTTCAAGTGATATGCAAGGAACACCCGATTAACAATGGTACCCTCTAAACCTTTCACGACAGAGAATTCTGTGTGTTTATCTCTAAAATGATATTCAAAATGTTGCAAAACTGGAGTGTACACTAGCGTTCAGTGTGAACTCTACATACAGTGAAACCCTTAATAACGAATACATCGAAAGAATTCATCGAATGTCGTATTCTTCACTTTCTGATAATGGAATGTTGCAGATATTTAGTTTTTTAATTTAATGATTATATGGAACTCTTTAAAACTGTTCCCGCATATTCATGGCTATTTATTTATTTTCGCAAATACTGAAATTTACGTAATATAGTATAAAACTCATTGAATAATTGTCAAGACGACATTTGATAAATTCTTCCGATGTATTCGTTATAAGGATTTCACTGTAGGTGAGGTTATATTCCTCGAAAATCCCGAATATTTTGCATGTTAATCGCAAGTTTCAATAATTCGATTGTAAATGACAATTTTGCGACTTCCAGGAAGAAAATATTTTTAAATCTATATATATCTATATATCTATCTAAATATTTATATATCTTAGGTATAAAACAGCTTGAAAATAACGGATACACGCACCTCTGACCCTTTAGTAAAAGTAAATTCAACCTAAAGTCTAACCGCGTCAACCTTGTTGCACCGGCTAGTCCAATTGAGTGTCTGCTTTATTTACCCATCGATACAGTACACAAACCGGGACCGGAAAGGTTGATTTGGCTCAAAAATTCAAATGTACTACGGCTGCCCGTGGATAAGTCCGAAATAAGTTGATGGTTTACAGAGGCAACCATTGTAAATGGGACACGTCACATAAAACATCGGAGCGTCATATTTTAATTGAAAATCCGTAAAAAAAGCGTTATTATTAGATACTTCTAACCAGAACCCCTAGTTACTCTACAATTGGAGGGAAGGTCAGTGGAAATTGCGGCAACATGTCCTTTAAGTCTGACATTTCCTTTTCAATGTAAATGTTCGTGTTTTTTAGTAGAGAGAGAAGTTAGAATTTTCGTTTGAGAAGGTCAAAATTAAATATTCTTGAAACTGTGCACAGGGTGTCCCTATAAACATGTTATTTCTGACAGTTGATAAATGACAAGAGTGTATCAAAAAAGATTGTTATGTCAATTCTTATTTGTCTCTTTAAATTGAATTTTAAGGTTTTTGAAAAAAAGGTGTACCGCATTTTGGAATTCCCGAGACTAGTAGTTTTAGGTGTCAATCGTGTGTTCAACCTACCTATAAAACTGTGGAAAGGTAAGGCGACATTTAGGCAAACTTTTGTGAATTTAGTGTTGTTATAAAGCAAACGTGTTACCAGAAAATTTTGTTCATCTAGATGAAGGTTTAATGCGTACACTTGTCAATCGGACATGTCCCTTTTTGAATGTAGAGTCACTTGAAATGACGTTGACAGTCCCTTTAAATCCAGACTTGTGTTAAAAGTCCCTTTAAATCCAGACTTGTGTTAACAGTCCCTTTAAATCCAGACTTGCGTTAACAGTCCCTTTAAATCCAGACTTGGGTTAACAGTCCCTTTAAATCCAGACTTGTGTTAACAGTCCTTTTAAATCCAGACTTGTGTTGACAGTCCCTTTAAATCCAGACTTGTGTTGACAGTCCCTTTAAATCCAGACATGTCAAGATTAAGTCCTCTCGTGACTGTTGTCTGCTCTCCTGCTCTCTCCTGTCGGATTATATTGTTTAATACAGACTTTAGCATTAGAGTTTTTTCTTCATATTATAACAGATAAAATATAAATATTTTAATAGAAATATCTATCTGAGCCCTTCCTTACCTTACCCTACCCTTCCCTACCCTTCCCTACTCTTCCCTACCCTTCCTTACCCTTCCCTACCCTTCCCTACCCTTCCCTACCCTTCCCTACCCTTCCCTACCCTTCCCTATCCTTCCTAACTCTTCCCTACCCTTCCCTACCCTTCC